AGCTGGGAGCTTCTTCCAGGTTTCCCATGTGGGTACAGGGGCCCAAGCACTTGGGCCATCCTCCACTGTTTTCCCAGGCCACTGGCGGGGAGCTAGATTGGAAGTAGAGCAGCTGGGATTCAAACTGGTGCCCATGTGGGATGCTGGTACTGCAGGCAGACATATCTTTCTATGCCAAAGTTCTGGTCCCAAGACACAAGTCATTTTTTTTTAGTTTGAAAGGCAGAGAGAGTTACATAGAGGCAGAGGCAGAGGTAGAGAGAGAAAGAGAGGTCTTCCATCCACTGATCCACTCCTCACATGGCCATAATGGCTGGAGCTGTGCCAGTCTGAAGCCAGGAGCCAGGAGCCTCTTCCAGGTCACTCATGTGGGTGGCAGGGGTCTAAGGACTTGGGCCATCTTCTACTGCTTTCCAGGTCATAGCAAAGAGCTTTATTGAAGTAGAGCAGCTGGGACTTGAACTGGCACCCATATGGGATGCTGGCACTGCATGCAGAGGCTTTACCCCCTATGCCACAGTACCAGCCCTGAAATAAGTCTTCTAAAAATAAATAAAAAATAGCCCTTGGCACACCCAAATGTTGTATATGAGTGCCTAGGTTTGAGTACCAGCTCCTTCCTGCTAATGTACACCCTGGGAGGCAGCAGGTGATGACTCAAGTACCTGGTTCTCTGCCACTCATATGGGAGATCCATATTGAGTTCAAGGCTCCTGGCTTCAACTGTCCAAGCCCCAGCAGTTTCAGGCATTTGGGGAGAGAACAAGCAGATGGAAGCTCTTTGTCTCTCAAATATATAAAGAAAGAATATGTCTTTCCTCTGGGATAAAGATCAGGAAGATTTACAGTCCATTCTACAAGACTCAAGTTCCTTAAGCTTGAGTTTCTTAAGCTCTTGGCCCATCAGGCAACACAGAGTAGGCAGGCATTACTTGGCCTTTCTCATTGCTCTGTAGGAACTGGGATTCAGATGTAAAAATGACAATACTTTATTGTTATTGCAGGAGTGAAAATGTGTCCTTTCTCTCTAACCCAGGGGTATATTATCTTCTTCCAGCACCCACAAAACTATAACAGATAACTGTTAGCTTGCAAAGAGGGTAAAGCCTCAGTTCTTGACATTACCAACTTAACCCTACTCCACTAAATACTTGAGCAGCATGTCCCTACTGTCAGGATCAAGATCAAACCTGTGACTGTCTCTTAACAAAGTCCTTCCTGCAGGTCATGGCTTCCTCTCTGCATCTCCCTGCGTCCATTTCAGCTCACATCTGTTCTTTCTCTCCCATCAAAAATCTCTAAAAATGTGAAATGTTCTTCCATATCTTCTTTCCATTATTAACTATTTTTATTTCTTTAGATCTTGGAACCTCTGATCCCCACACATGTAGACCTCTCCTTTGCAGCACCTATCATGGCTGTGGTTTTATTTTCCTTTGGGTGATTACGTGATCTTGTTTTCTGCTTCTCCAGACAGGAAGAAGAAGGACTCCTACTGAGGTGCTACTTAAGTCTCCAGCCTTGGCCATCGCACAGAAAAGGTCTTCATGGATGAAAACAAACCTACCGGGCCAGTGCTGTGGCTCACTTAGCTAATCTTCCGCCTGTGGTACTGGAATCCCATATAGGTGCTGGGTTCTAGTCCCAGTTGCTCCTCTTCCATTCCAGCTCTCTGCTGTGGCCTGGGAAGGCAGTGGAGGATGGCCCAAGTGCTTGGGCCCTGAACTCGTGTCGGAGACCAGGAAGAAGCACTTGGCTCCTGGCTTCAGATCGGTGTAGCTCCAGCCATAGCAGCCATTTGGGGGGTGAATGAGCAGATAGAAGATCCATCTCTCTCTTTGTCTCTCCCTCCTTCTCTGTAACTCTGCCTTTCAAATAAATAAATCTTAAAAAAAAAAAAAAAAGAAAGAAAGAAAGAAAACCAGCCTCCTAACAAGGCTTTAAGACTTCTAATGAGCAGTATGACTGCAGTAGCAGAGAACATTTCATGTCTAAATTTAATGTTTAGATTTTTTCCCCAAAAACTCACTCATAGCTTTATGATGTCCCTGATTTTCTTCCAAACACTATTTAGAAATGTGGATCAAGTTGCTTCTGTCATCTCAGCACAGTACTTACCTTTCTTAAGAATTTTCTTAACTTTCACATAATTCCCTTGTTTAACATACTCAAGAAGCTGAGCTCTAGGGAGTCATTTCTTAAGGTACTAAGCTGAACAGGACAGGGTACTGGAAGATGAACAGTCCGTGACATCCTGTTTCAAAAGAGAACAACAGGCCTATTCTAACTGAGCTAGAAATGCAATGAAGAAACTTAGATTCTTTCACATGTAGAAACTTGCCCACTTTGATAAATACAGTTGTCTCTGGGTATCAATGGAGATCTGGGTCCAGGATTCCTCCCCCTAACCCCAGTAATCCCTCAATGCTCAAGTCCTTTTTATAAAAATGGTAGAGTGTTTGCATATAGCCCAGATTCATTCTATCCTATACTTTAAATTATCTCTGGACTATTTATAATAGCTAATATATACATGCTATATAAATAGTTGTTACATTGTATTGTTCAGGAAAAATGACAAGAAAAAAGTCTGTACACATTTTGTGCAGATGCTATTTATTTCTTGAGGATATTTTTTATCTTTGGTTGGTTTAATTCATGGATGTGGGACTCATGGATACAAAGGGCCAACTGTAATGAAGAAGATTATGTAAAAATTAATGAAATTCTATGAGATTGATGAGACTGAAGAACTGACTATTCATCAGCATTTCTCTCTCTATCTCTGTCTCTGCCTCTCTGTAACTGCCTTTTTTTTTAATTTTTTTTTTATTTTTTGACAGGCAGAGTGGACAGTGAGAGAGAGAGACAGAGAGAAAGGTCTTCCTTTTGCCGTTGGTTCACCTTCCAATGGCTGCCGCAGCCGGCGCGCTGGGGCTGGTGCATCACACTGATACGAAGCCAGGAGCCAGGTGCTTCTCCTGGTCTCCCATGGGGTGCAGGGCCCAAGGACTTGGGCCATCCTCCACTGCACTCCCTGGCCACAGCAGAGAGCTGGCCTGGAAGAGGGGCAACCGGGACAGAATCCGGCGCCCTGACCAGAACTAGAACCGGGTGTGCCAGTGCTGCAGGTGGAGGATTAGCTTATTGAGCTGCGGCGCCAGCCTGTAACTGCCTTTCAAATAAATGGATAAATTCTAAAAAAAAAAAAAAAGAAGAATTTAACATTGTGTCATTAAGATAATTTTTATTTTTGTTTATCTGCTTTCTCCCATTTTATCTAATTGTTTAATTTTTAATTATTTTTTAAATTTTGGAAACTATTGACTTTGAAATGTTAGAACACAAATATGCAGTCATTATATATTTAAGATTGGGGGTAGATACGTGGCACAGCAGTTGAGTTGCTGTTTGGGATGCCAGCATCCCATATCACAGCACCTGGTTTGAGTCCTGGCTATTCCACTTCCTGCTAATACGTACCCTGGGAGGCAGCAGATGATGGCTCAAGTATATATATATATATATATATATATATATATATATATAGAGAGAGAGAGAGAGAGAGAGAGAGAGAGAGAGAGAGGACAGTATTAAGTAGTAGTTAAGTTCATACTTCAGACTCTGAAGTTCTGGCTCTGTTACTTCCCTGTTACCTTAGAGAAATTATCCAACACTGATACACTTCCACGTCTTCATCTGTAAAATGCAGCTTAAAATAACCAGATGGTTGTTGAGCATTTCAAGTGAGCTAATATGTGTAGTGTCCTTAGAATAGTGCCTGGCACACCAGGAGTTCTCTGTAGTTGCTAGCTATTACTGTACACAATAACCATGCACAGACATTTTACTTTGTACACTTTGAAACTATACTTGACTATCATTCATACAAAATCAAGTGTTGTACCTACTGCTATGATTTGAATGTGTCCCCCAAAGTTCATGTATTGGAAACTTGATCACCAATGTGAAGCTACTGGAAGTTGGGACCTTTAAGAGCTACTTAGGTTATGTTTACTCCCTCCTCATGAATGGAATGAATGCTGTTATTGTTGAGGGAACAAGGTTTTTTTTTTTTTTTTTAATTCATTCATAGGAATAGGTTCCCTATAAATGGATCAGTTCAGGGCCCATTTTGCACCTCCCACTGTCCCTGTACTTCTCCACCTCCCACTCCTGCTGCCTCTCATCCTGCAGTGATGCAGAAAAAAGGCCCTCGGGGCAGCGCTGTGGTGCAGTGGGTTAATGCCCTGGCCTGCAGCGCCAGCATCCCATATGAGCACCGGTTCGAGTCCCAGCTGCTCCAATTCCTATCCAGCTCTCTGCTATGGCCTGGGATAGCAATAGAAGATGGCCCAAGTCCTTGGGCCCATGCACTCACGTGGGAGACCTGGAAGAAGCTCCTGGCTCCTGGCTTTGGATCTGCACAGATCTGGGCGATGCGACAAATTGGGGAGTGAACCAACAGATGGAAGACCTCTCTCTCTGCCTCCTCTCTCTCTGTAACTCTCAAATAAATAAAAATAAATCTTAAAAAAAAAGGGTGGGTGGGTGGGAGGGAAGTTATGGTGGGGGAAAGCCACTGTAATCCAAAAGCTGTACTCTGGAAATTTATTAAATAAAAGTTTTAAAAAAAGAGAGAGAAAGGCCCTCACCCCCTCACCCCCTCACCCCCTCACCCCACACCACGCCCCTTACCTTGGACTTTTCAGCTTTCAAAACTATGAAAAATAATTCCTGTACATTATCAATTGCCTAGAGGCCTGTGCTATGCCGCAGTAGGTTAAAAACACAGCCTACAGCACTGGCCAAATGGATGGCAGTTGGAGTCCCATCTGCTCCCTTTCTCATCCAGCTCTAGGAAAATAGCAGAAGATACTTGGACTCCTGCACCCCCATGCAATACCCAGACCACGTCCACACAGAGAGCCAAGAACCAATAACAAACAAAAGTCGTGACAAACAAAGGATACTGAAATCTACTATTCAAACACCAACACCAGGAGAAAATGCGAACGCAGTCCCCCACTACCAGAAGCCACACAGCTGAGTTTCCCACATTTAGGGAAATTGGAGAAATCAGCGCATTGGGAGTGCAATGCATAAGCCTCATCCTGGAAAAACTACCTTCGTGATTGTGGCATATCCCCCTGCCAGGTAAGTATGAGTTGCAGGTGCCCCCAGCATGGGCCCAGTGATGCATACACACTGTACAGTTCGGGTCGTTCCTGAAACGACTCTGGGGCTTTACCAGCGAATTACCAACCAAAAGAAAAGAGATTTTCACACTATAGCTTAGTACTTGTGATAAAGATGATATGACTATGTCTTCAGGGAACGCGCTTCCAAAATCGCTCGGAGTCTTTAATCTACATACTCCACCTCCTGGAGTCACGTCATACGCAGGCCCAGCCCCGCTGGGCGCACGCCAGCGGCTTCCTCTCGGAGGACCGCGCCCTTTATCCAGTTTACCTGCTCCTCCTGCCCGCGCTGAGGAACGTGAAACCGGGTTATTTTTCTGACAAAAAGGCAGCCTTCCCCCAGCTTTTCGCGTAGCCAAAGACCTTCAGGTAGACAGCTGAGAGCTCAACTTTAGCAAACGGGCATGGATAGGATTTTATTCCCGAGGCAACTTCATGCCTTCCCAGTACACTGACGCTCCAAGCAGACCATCTCTGTTGCAAGCGAGGAACAGGGCGTGCTAGCTGGGTGTATGTACTGCAGAGTAGGGGTTCTGGAACCCAAGATCTGGACTGCAACTCAGTGTTCACACTGGACAACTCTAGACAAGGTTCTAGCCACTGAACCTGTTTGGAAAATACGCATCACTGACCTTGGAGAAGTACTTGTGATAATTAAACCAAATAAAGTAGCAAAGCAACAGCCTAAACTGTAACACATAATTATAACTTGTGAATCTGGCAACCCAATGAAAACCTGAAAACAAACCAATACTAACAGCCACCATCCACTACTGAGTGCTTACTATGCACCCCACTTTACATGTTATCTTTGTAACTCAGGTGGGAGTTAGAATCTTTTTTTTTATTTGTTTCACAAATAAAGAACCCTGAAGCATGACAAAACTTAATTGCTTGCCAGACTTTAAAAACCCTTTGCCTTCTCTCCCCCCCCCCTTTTGACAGCTCTCATCTTTTGGTTCAATCCCCAAATGCACACAACGACCAGGAATGGGCCCAGACAAAGCCACCCTCGAGTCCCAGCTCCACTCCCAATTCCAGCTTCCTGATGATGTGCACCCTGGGAGGTAGTGATAGCTCAGGAGTTGTGTTCCCAGCTGGAAATCCAGGCTCCTAGTTTTGGCCTGCCCCAGCCCTGTCTGTTGGCAGGTATTTGGGAGGAGAACCAGCAGATGAACAATGGATCTCTGTCAGTCTCTGTCTCTCTGCCTTTCAAACAAAAATAACTGCTAAACAAGGAAGGATGGGAAGGAGGGAGGGAAGGAACTTAGAGACAAAGGGATAAAGTTTTTTTTTGTTGTTTTTTTTTTTTTTTTTTTTTTGACAGGCAGAGTTAGTGAGAGAGAGACAGAGAGAAAGGTCTTCCTTCTGTTGGTTCACCAACCCAAATGGCTGCTACAGTCGGCGCGCTGCGCTGATCTGAAGCCAGGAGCCAGGTGCTTCTCCTGGTCTCCCATGTGGGTGCAAGGCCCAGGCACTTGGGCCATCCTCCACTGCTTTCCCAGGCCACAGCAGAGAGCTGGACTGGAAGAGGAGCAACTGGGACAGAATCCAGCGCTCTGACAGGGACTAGAACCTGGAGTACCAGCACCGCAGGCAGAGGATCAGCCTAGTGAGCCATGGCGCTGGCCAGGGATAAAGATTTTAAGGAGAGGCTCTCCAAGTTTGGACAAACTCCAAAAAGATAAACTACTGGATGGAGACCTTCATTCATTACTCAGAAAAGAATGAAGAGCCCTGCTCACAGAGAAAAACCGAAATGTCTAGGAGAAAGCATCCTGCATTTGAGTGCATTGGCCTAGTCACATCAGATGCAATTTATTTACTTGTTCAGTTTCTAGGTGTGTCCCTTCAAGCAGAGCCTGTATTTATAAATTTACTCTATTTTCTTTGTTTCCTTTTGTCCTCCTTTGGCATTTAGTAAAATGCTGACTTTTTTTTTTTTAATTTTTTGACAGGCAGAGTGGACAGTGAGAGAGAGAGACAGAGAGAAAGGTCTTCCTTTGCCGTTGGTTCACCCTCCAATGGCTGCCGTGGCCGGCGCTCTGCGGCCGGCGCACCGCGCTGATCCGATGGCAGGAGCCAGGAGCCAGGTGCTTTTCCTGGTCTCCCATGGGGTGCAGGGCCCAAGGACTTGGGCCATCCTCCACTGCACTCCCTGGCCACAGCAGAGAGCTGGCCTGGAAGAAGGGCAACCGGGACAGAATCCGGCGCCCCAACCGGGACTAGAACCCGGTGTGCCGGCACCACAAGGCGGAGGATTAGCCTAGTGAGCCACGGCGCCGGCCCCAAAATGCTGACTTTTAAGGAGGAGTAAGTTCAAGAGACCTATACAGTTCAATATTGTGACTATACTTAATAACTATCTATTGCTATCTTGAAAATTCCTGAGAGTAATTTTTTTTTTTTTGCTAATCTGTCTTTAAGATGTATTTATTTGAAAGACAGAGTGACAGAGAGAGAGGGAGAGACAGAGATCTTTGATCTGCCAGTTCACTCCCCAAATGGCTGCAGCAGTGGTGGGCCTAAGTACATGGGCCATCGTCTGCTGTTTTCCCAGGAGCATCAGCAGGCAACTGAATTGGAAGCAGAGCAGCTGGGACTTGAACTATTGCTCCAATGTGGTATGCCAGTGTTGTAGACAGCAGTTTAACCCACTGTATCACAATGCTGACCCCTGGTCAATCTTTTTTAGATAGAGCTCATATCCTCTGGTTCACCTGCTGAATGCCCATGACAGCTGGGGCCAGGCCAGGTCAGAAGTTGGGAGCTGGAAGCTCAATCGAGGTCTCCCACATGAGTGGGTGGGAGGGACATAGTACCCAAGCCATCACTTGCTCCCTACCAGGATGTACATTAGCAGGAGGCTGAACTCAGAAGCTGAACCTGGGACTCAAACCCAGGTAGTCTAATATGGGATGCTGGCACCCCTAGCTTAAAAGCTTATCTGCTAGGCCAAATGCCCACCCTGACAGTGATTTTAAGTGTTTTCACCACAAACAAGTGATAAGTATGCCAGGTAACACATATGTTAATTAGTTCAATTTAGTTGTTCCATAATGTATTCATATTTCTAAACAATATGCTATATACAATAAACATAAACATCTTTTCTTTGTCAATTAAGAGAATGTCAACCTGAAAGGTGTGAGGAAAAAGGAAGGGAGAGCTTCAGTTTTGGAGTGCAGCAGGCCCAAAGCTTGGGAGAGAGAGATTGTGCAGTGAATGAATGTCTGCAATGGAAAAAGCCAATGGAGCAAGCTAGAACTACATTAGGAGTCAAGTGCATCTAGAGCTTAGGCTGGCTCAGCAGTTAAGTGAAAACTCAGACTTTATGGCAAAAGGGAGACACAGAAGAGTTTTCAGGTGAGTAATGATTGGTTGCTTTTTACTTTTTATAATAAAGATATATTTACTTATTGGAAAGACACAGAGAGAGAGAAGGTGATAGATCATGCATCCGTTGGTTCATTCCCCCAAATGGCTGCAATGGCAAGGGCAGGCCAGGCAGAAGCCAGGAGCTTCATCTGGAACTCCCAAATGGGTGCAGGGGTCCAAGTAGTTGGGCCATCTTCCACTGCTTTCTCGAGCCCATTAGCAGGGAGCAGGATTGGAAGTGGAGCAGCCAGACTGGAATCGGCACTTATGGGGGATCCTGGTGTCCCAGGCAGAAGCTTTACCCACTATACCACAATGCTGGGCCCCGGTTAGGCTTTTTATATATTTTTAAAGAAAGATTTATTTGGGGCCAGTACTAATGTGCCTGGAAGGGCTGTGAAAGATGGCCCCAGCCACTCACATGGGAGACCTGAATGGAATTCCTAGCTGGCCCAGCACTGACCGTGAAGTGATGGCCATTTGGGGAGTAAACCAACAGATGGAGATCTCTGTATTTCCTCACCACTATCACTCTGCCTCTCTTTTTCTTTCTCTTCTCTTCTCTTCTCTTCTCTTCTCTTCTCTTCTCTTCTCTTCTCTTCTCTTCTCTTTCCTTCCTTCCTTCCTTCCTTCCTTCCTTCCTTCCTTCCTTCCTTGATTTATTTACTTATTTAAAGGCAGAGTTACGGAGAGGAAGAGGTAGAGAGAGAGGTCTTCCATCCACTGGTTCACTCCCCAATTGGCCGCAATGGCCGGAGCTGCGCTGATCCAAAGGCAGGAGCTAGGAGTTTCTTCTGAGTCTCCCACATGGGTGCAGGGCCCCAAGCACTTGGGCCATCTTCTACTGCTTTCCCAGGCCTTAGCAGAGAGCTGGATCGGAAGAGGAGCAGCCAGGACTAAAACCAGCGCCATATGGGATGCCGGCACCGCAGGCGCCAGCTTTACCTGCTTCTCTTTACACATGTTTTTAATTTCTTCTACCCAGGTGTTTCAAAACTTCTCCACATTTAAACATTTCTCAATGACAGTGGCATTACTCCCAAAGGGAAGTCTTGAAAATCTGTGGGGATGTATTTTGTACAGTCATGCCAAACACTTGCATATTGAGGGAGATCAGAAGAGGAAATCCTAAAGTATACTTGAGTTTATTTCCAGGTGGCTATTCTGAGGCACTGCAGACACAAGAATGACACTAAAAAAGTAGTCCTTTTGTAAAAGTAAACTCACATCTATATATGTTAGTAAACAGTGGGTGCAACGAAGGCTTTTCTATCTATTTGTCTAGGAAAGATCTTTTCACAAGAGATTGGGGATCTGGCATTTGGCCCTGACAAAGAGTATTGCAGGTGACCTTCAGGTGAGTGTTACCTGGGAGACATTATCTGCATAGGACCACCTTTGTTCAGTAGTCCCTCACACTTCTATGACATGCTTTACCACCTACCCACCCAGGAAACCTCAAGCTCCTATTTCTGTAGCTCAAAATGCTATTTGAGCTTCAATCTTCTGAGCCCTTTCTTTGAGCCTCATACTTTGTTATCTCATGTCTCTGCATGCTAATAAATACAGGAATGAAAGGAAAAGCT